ATTATTTAAAACTATTATACTATAAAATGTGTAAATCGAAAGGAACCTAAAAAAGTCGATATAGATTGTAAATCTTGTGTTAACTTAAAATAAAATTTTGAATTTTTAAGTACAGACAAACTGTTTTCACAACAGCACAGCTATATATTATAAACATTTTATAAGTTAGAATATCGCATAGGTATAGGTATCGCAATATTATATTACATAATTAACTGAACATATGCTTATTCTAAATGTTTATTTTATAATACTTTAAGACTTAAAACTAGCAATATCCTATATAGACAAACGAAAGAAGAAAAAAAAAACTAAATCCTGATAAAACCCTTAAGCGTTAGCTAAAGAAATACAATGCATTTTTTATAAATATTATCATAAATATGTTAAAACAAACGACGTAATTTCTCTACTATACATAGATACATACAATTAATAATATGCAATCTTAAGCTACTTAAATCTAAATGGATCTGTTTAGATTGTATCCAACTTACAGAAAAGTTCATACTCAAATGAAGAGATGGACACAAATTATTAGTGAACAATAAACAATTTACATATTATATTACATGAAGTCATCGTTTGCAGCCTTATGATGAATGGACTTATGAAATTTTACAAATACAATGTATTAGTGAGTAATAAATGAGTAAATATAATTAAAACCTAACCTACTACCAGTACCTATTAACAAATATTAATAAGTAGTAATCTGTAAGTATAGGTTCTTCAAAGACATTAAATTATTTATAAGGTAGTCTGAGCTATCACTGAAAATTCTCTGTTCTTCAACTTAGTGTCAAAAAGTAACTTAGATTGTGTTTATTTATTTTTCAGTAGCACTATGCGAATACAGTTTAATCAGTAGTTCAACGATACGAACGTGAATTTATTTTTAATAATTTACTTTACATTTATTGGACATCTCATATAAGTTTCACTATTTGATAGTACAAGTGTGTTATGAAGAAGGTATTTATACAGCTAATTAGAATGTTTCCCCGTATTCGGTCATTTCCCATAAATAGTTAAACAGAACCTTACGGAGTACAGTACTGGTAGTTTAGGTCACCTTAATACTATTTCTTAATTTAGCTTATCATTAAATTTAATGTTTATACTTAGCGGAGATAATTTTAAATAGGAATCAAAAATAAGCCTATGAACATAATAAACTTTTAAAAATTAGTGTAGATTTTAGACTGAAATTTTATGTGTATAAAAAAAATAAAACAAATCAGTTTTAAAATATCATCGTAAGTATATAAAGACATGTTAAGAATAATTAAAATATGAAAAAAGACGCTTATTACTAGTTAAATGTAATCTAATACCACATAGCCACATACAATAGAATGTAAATGCCCAGGGGCAGTGTATGCTGCGGTTGCGCCGTAGGATGCACTTTAAGCCATAATTATATTCTACGCCTACATTATAATCTAATGCATACAATTGCGAATTATACCTTTTATATGTACAAATGATAATCTGTACAGTCAACTGCATAAATATAACGCGAAGTGACGCAGAAGACTGTACACAGCGAAGTAAGAGTTCCCTCGCTCCTTAATATATACAGTACTATTATAAATAGGCCACTGTTGGTAAGAGCCAAAGATTTACAATACTATAATACCATTGTGTTCTAATCCTAGTATAAAATTTAAGTAGTGATAATATAATTACTTACTAATAGACCTGCTTCTAAAACCACTAAAGGAAATCTATTATAATTTTAAAATCAGAATTTATGTTTTACTTATTTAAAATGATCGCTTAGAATGTTAACTCTGGTGCAATCTCCTTTATTATTGTTTATTTTAAATTATTGATTATGCTGATGTATGCTTTCCTGATCTTAATGAAGTTTTCCTTGATAAGCTGAATCGTCTTGTTAATAACTGTATCCGGTTTATTTTTCATATTCGCAAGTATGATTATGTACCCTCATTCCTCACTTAGTAAACAAACATTAAGACGGTAGACGGTCTGCGCGGGAATTGAAAAATATGTATTTGAAGAAACTATTGCCGTCCCTCACCTCTGGTCTCCATACGAAGAGTGCGATAGGGACAACTGCAGCTCAGCACGATTTTACCTACAAAAACCGTGACTGATCGACGTTTCGTATTCCCCTGTTTTCTCCTCGAAAATTAAGCCAGTTTCTTTTGGTGTCAAAATTTAAAGGAAGAATAGATCTATGCTTCTATCATTTGCTTTTGTCATAAAAACTTTTCAAATTTCTTTGGTAGTCGTCTGATTACGGAGGTAAAAACGGAACATTTTTTTAGATTTTTGAAAAGTCATATTTATGTATTTTAGTAATAATTTTTTAAAAAAGGAAATGACAGGGGCATGCCTTCAATAGATCTAGACCCTCTTAAAGACGATTTATTTGGGCTCATTTCCTAAAACTGCTTCATAGCTTCTAAGCTCCATTACTATTTTGTAGTTACCTCTGTTTTAGTTTAATCCGTATATTATGTATCTTATATTATATTTTATGATATATATTTATATATATTTATATTCTTTGTTACCGCCTTCGTAGTTTTATCACTATCTTAAGGTTAACTGGCAGAGAATGCTTTTAAAATTAAGTCCGTTTTTTTATAAACTCTAATCGAACAATAATTATGTGCGTGAGTCGACTTATTTCAAACAACATTCGCGCAAATAAACCGTTATTAATATATTTAAACTTGTTACTATATAAACAAATATTTTTCTAAGCATTTGCTCAGTTTAAGAATTTGAAATATTTTTTTCTAAAGAAAAAAATCTAGATAGCGTTAGTTTACATTTTATAAGAGAGATGATAATTATCTACTAATAAATTTCCTATTATTATAAAGAAGACTTTTTGCTATATCAAGTAATTTTGTTTTAATTTTCTGCGTAATCCATTTGGTTTCGATCTTGCCAAGTTTATGATTGAGAGAACATGTAAAATAAATATCTGAGTACACATTTTCGTATTGCCATTGCCAGTTCCCTTGACTATGTTCAACCATACTAGTGCTAACTATCATTATTAAACACTTAAAGTATATCCCACGACGGCACTTAAAATAAATATACCTTGTGATATAGCATTATACAGGCGTGTTAACACGACTAAAGCACGTGAATGCCAAAAATCCATTCGATAAAATAATAAATACTGTCAAAAAAACTGCTCATATCAGATATCTATACTGCTTTCTTACAACGAACTTACAAGTACTTATATACTAACGCACTAATCATCCGATTAGTGCGTTGACAGACATTTGATATTTTCAAATGGTGGGTAGTTTAAGAATCATTTACGTTCAAAGGTCCAACTATGCCAAGACTGTGTCGCTGAACGCCCAAATATTCAAAATGTCTGTATAGACATACAACTGTCTGATTCGGAAATTTAAAATATGTATAATAAAGTGATAAAACAAAACAACACATAGTACCCAGTCAGTGTTGTCAGACTTCACACGCTTTCGAAATACAATGTTTTTTTTCTTTTGATTTCTAAGGATTTAGGATATTCCTAAGTATCTAATCCCTATAATGTCAGTACTATTAAATTTTAGCCCATATTAATTACATTAAATAAAATATTAAGAAATACTAAGAAATAACCCAAGAATATAAAATACAAACCAAAAAGGAAAATTAAGACCAAAGAGAGGGCAGACTGACTCGAAAGGGCAAACGGCGTAAACTATCGCTATTTTTAAATAAAACACATTAAAACCATTTAACAAAACAAACACAAACAATTTGTAAGTATTTTATCTGTAGATAAATTGAATCAAAGATAGTTTGAAAATCAATAAACCTTGAAAAATCCAAATGTATCTACCTATCTACTCAGAATAGTTATTACTAAGTTTTAAGTTAAGTTCTAAGGATATTGCACTATAATTAAACGTCGTTTACTGCATAGTTGAATGATCAGTTACATAGGCATTGGACTAATTGGACAATTCGCTGAGGCAAAATGCTCGTAAAGTTTAAAAAATCATCAAAAATGTTGTATATATATTACTTATTGTGTATATTTAAATCTAGAACTAGGATTAAAAGATAAAAAATAGTTAACATATTTATCGTATTAGAGAAAACATTTTAAACGTGATAATAATTTCAACTCAATGGATGTTACAAAATATTTTAATATATGGAACTGCACTAAAAACTTTTAAAAAAATTAAAGAATTACTTTAAGCTCTTACTTATTTCAAATAACATTCGCACAAATTAGACATGTGTCAATCATGAATGATTCGTTCGTTTGAGCTTAAAAGTATTGATAGTTCATTCATCTGTTTTTGAATGTTTCGGTACAACCAAACACAAACAATTGACGGAACCTTTTTAACCCGTGATTGGTGTGAATTGTGAATGAGTCGAAAACCGACCGAATTCCGAATGATTTGAGGTTTTTATTGTAGGGTACTAGAGCCCGAAATGATCCATTTGAATGATCGATCTAAATGTAGAATGATTCGGTCACGAGAAATGATCGGTTGACACATGTCTAGCGCAAATAAACCGTTAAGAAAAAAAAATATTTTTAAGCATTTGCTCAGTTTAAGAGTTTGAAATGTTGTCTCAATTATTCTAATATAAATATTATATTAATACTTTATATACGTTATAACTAGCCAAAACATCTATCTGTACGTAAGCCTATGTAATTTAGTGATTAAGTATAGTAATTAATGCTAAATGATTTTAATATGAATAATTATGCATTTTTAAGAATTTTTATTAACTACTTAAATTGAGAGTTAATTTGTAATTGAGAAAAATTTTGCATGGAATTTATGTGGAAAAAATTTCTTCAATTATGGAATTCATACAAGATAATAATAATCTTTTATTGCGATACAATATGATGAGAATTTTCGTAGTGTTTACAAACATAGCCGTGCCTAGTTATTTGTGTTTAAAGCATTCGAAGAGTTTAAATTTTGACATAAAAGTTTAAAACGCAATGAGTGGAAAATTTATCTCCAAATGATGGCCACGTTAGGATCGTCTTCTATGATCTGATCCAAGGTGGGAAGGTCGATTTTGGCTAGGCAACAGATTTCGTCGGTGCAGTGTCTTCCTGTGAATAGTCGTCGTATACCCAATACGGAATCTAATCGGTTGTTGATGCCATTCGGACGAGTTGCATTACGTAGGTATACAGGATATCTGGTGACAAAACGTTGCGGTTTTTATTTTTTTTTAATTATATATTTTATTTTAAACGCAAATTCTCAATGAAATTAAATTATGTAACAAAAACCTTCTCTTCATTGCCAACTAGCGACATCTGGTGAGCGTGATAGTTCGCATAAATGAAGATATCGAGTAATATATAAAAAATCATACATGAAATTTCGTATATTTTCATATTTTCATAGACATCCAGTATATGCACATTAATACGTTAGTGAATAAACAGGACCGTGATAAAATTTTGTCTAAAACTTCAATATTGGCGAAGTCACAACACTATGGCAGTAATTTTATTTTTATTTATAATAAAAATAAAATTATATATATATATATATATGTGTGTGTGTGTGTGTGTGTGTGTGTTATGTGTGTGTGTGTGTGTGTGTGTGTGTGTGTGTGTGTGTGTGTGTGTATTTATAGATTTATTATAGATACAGATGAACCTTAAAACAATTATATAAGATAAGGTTGAATATTATCTAATTCTAATATCGTCGAATTCTAAATATCCTCGTTGCTTTGAAGTCGGCTAAAAAGGGTTAAGCTCTCAAATATTGGTTTCAGTTCAGAATGTAAAATTATTTTTTTAATAAAATAATATGTTGCCTCCACACTACGTTTTTATCCTATATCGTGGTGGTTAACATACATAAATTTCACAAGGACAAACATCCAAACCCCCAGACTCGCTCCCCTTCGGGAGGCGAACCCACGACAACACCACGGAGCCGTCAAGTTTAGTTTTTTCAATAGCTGTTTACTTTTTCTTATCATTGTTACATACCTTTTTAAGCATTTGATGAGTCCATGAAGTTGAGCAAACACCACAAGTCGACGCACATCCAAAGCGGTACTCGATATGCCCGAGAACCGTTCACACACTGTACGAAGAGTGGTGCCTTGTTGCAGGGAGCACAAGATCTCTAACACTTCTGACGGCGATGGCTATGGCAAAAAAAATCAAATAATAATATTGAAAATCTGCCACCCGGTCGCAAACTTTCAAATATCTGATATTATGCTGCAAGCGTGGTAGAGCCATGCTGCAGTTATATTAGTAGTATAGTTGAAGCACGAATGGGTCGGCTCGACCGGGGAAGGACCACGCTCTCGCAGAATACCAGCGTAAAGTTGCAGCTTAATACTGCTGCGTTTCGTATGGTGAGTGTAGAGAACCGGAGACCCCTTTTATTGGAAACGAGGCATTCCATGTTAGTCCTCACGGGTGACAACGCATCTGCATTTTGATTCGTAATCGAGGATAGATGTAGATGTCGATGAGCCACAGCAATCACTTACCATCAGGTGGACTGTGTGCTCGTTTGTCACCCTATCCTATAAAAAAAATCTGAAGCTATCAACAGCGCAGGTAAAGGTAGAGGTAGGTCCTTGGGTTTATTGCGTTGAGAAGGGGGCTCCTGAACATTAATGCTGAAAATTAACCTACTAATGCTAAAAATTCTTTAAAGAATTATATAATAATACTACGCTTTCTGGCGCATTGCCGAAAGCACTGACAACGACCGTATTTACTTTTAATTTGATAATAATTTCTATTTTAGCAGTATAAGTTATAATTCACGTGATAGAACCAACTGCAGCATATTGTATCTGCAATACGAATTTGTCGGCTCGACCGGGGAGAAACCACGCATGAACACTTGAAGAGTATACCAGCATTATGTGGCAGCATCACAGTGCTAATTTTCGCCTGATGAGTAACTAGAACCGGTGATCCCTTTACTGGTTCCGGCATGCCATCTTAATCCTTAGGGTGACATCTTCAATCAGATTTAATCGAGGTTAAAAATCGGTGTCAATGAGTCTAGAGGTCACAGCATCCAGTTAGCATCAGGTGGATCTTGTGTTCTATTTCACGCTTACTTCAATGAAAGAAATCTTCATCTTTTTTAAAGAGAAATACAAGATGGATCTAATGTATAAAACAGTCTCAATATTCCCAAGCAGCACAAACACATTATGAACATCAATATACCAGCCCACATAGAACTTCTTAGTTCTTTTAGAAATGTATAAGAGTGTAGAAAAGAGGTTGTATCCGTATAAGAGTGGTTTATGAGTTCCAGATCAAGCTGTATGAAGTCTGTATTATGGCTTGTAAACCTTAGGGTTTTTAATCAAAATATGAAAACTGTAGTATATATCTTTAAGTATGTTATAACACTTGAATCTTATTTTATCATTAAATCGGTATAGAAGCTGTTTTTTGCATGCTTGTTACAGCAAGTGTTATCTTTAATTATATCTTGTTATATGTATATATGGTGTATGCAAACCGAGTTCTAAAACTTATTTTCATGGCGTTATTGTACAATATTATAAATTCAGTAATATATTACTTCTGTCTATGAGCGCGATATAAAACTAAAATTATATTCGCGGTCGCCAGCAATCAGTTCGCTCAGGTCAGCGGTTTTCTGCATGGGCTGAAATTGAATCTGGTGTGCCGCAAGGCGGAATACTTTCTCCTATTATGTTTTCCTTATTTATAAATTCTATCTCCTCAGTTTTAGATTGTTCGTACCATCTGTATGCGGATGATCTCCAGCTCTATGTACAGTCAAGCTTTAATAATCTTAACTTTGTAATACACAAACTAAATGATAACCTGGAAGCCATAAGAGAATGGTCATGTAAATATGGCGTTTCTGTTAATCCTGACAAATGCAAAGTTATAATATTCGGAAGTTCGCAATTATTGGCTAAGGTTGATTATGGAAATCTCTCTCCTGTAATTTATAATGGAAGTTTGATTCCATATTGTGATTCCATAAAAAATCTGTACATGGATAAAACTATGACCTGGAAATTGCAGATTTCTGAAGTTAGTCGTAAAGTTGTTGCTACCTTGCGTTCCCTTTATCGTCTTAAAAATTTCCTACCTTTCAAAACCAAACTTACGCTGGCTCATTCCCTTTTTCTACCTATTATCGACTATGACGATGTATGTTACCCAGATCTGTCAGAAAATCTTCTAAACAAGTCGGAGCGCCTTCTTAATAATTCTATAGGGTTTATTTTTGGTTTACGTAAGTATGACCACATATCATCCATCATCGTTCAAAGCTTAAATGGCTACCTATACGTCAAAGGCGATGCTCTATAATTTTACTTGTACTTTATTCAATTTTAAACGATCCAAGGTCGCCCTCTTATCTTAAGGATAATTTTCATTTTTTTCATCCGATCGTCGGTCGAGCATCCCGACAGTCAAACCGTCTGAGGTTAAGGTTTCCACAGCATAATTCAAATTATTTTAGGTCGCCTTTTACGATACAAGCTATACAACTTTGGAGCACCCTCCCCAACGATATTAAGAATGCCACAAATAAAAAAGTTTTTAAAGTTATTCTCCGAGAACATTACCTGAAGGCAACTACTAATTGACATTATTTTTCCTTAATTCTTGTCTTTCTTTTCTTCTTTTTTTATTTCAAATATTTATTTAATTATAATTATTATACAAACAATATATTATATATATCATTCATTTGGATATTTATTTACGAAGTATATAAGCATGTTTATATATATATATATATATATATATATATATGTATATGTATATATATATATATGTATATATATATATATGTGTGTGTGTGTATTGTGTATGTATGTACTTTGCATATATGTATATTTTAATGTATATGCACTTATTTATGTATAATGGTCGCACCTGCCAACAATTGTCCTTGGCACCCACGGTTGACTGGCAGAGAATGCCACATGGCATTAACTCCGCCCTATGTACCCTTTAGCTTAAGGTGTTACATGTAATTTTTTAAATAATAATAATAATAAAACTAAAAAAGAGAATAAAAGCCATAGTACAATTTAAGGCTGTTTAAGTGATAGAATATCGCCATTTTGCATACGTTGCGTGTTTATATTGTGCTAATGAACGAAATTAATTTGTTATCAATATGTGGAAAAAAAAAATAAAGATGTGATGCAGTTAGAAGATCATCTTAAATCTAAATAAAAGTTATCCAACACTGTTCCTAAGGCAAGGGTTTTCATCTTTTATACCAATCACTAAAGAATATGTTATGTTGAAATACTTGCTATACAGCGTAAGTATAATATTAATATATTTAATTTTTTTTACTCTGACATTAATGTCGCCATCAAAGTTCCTTTTTTATATTTATTTGTAATTTCGTTCAAACCCCAATTTAGAACGCTTATCTTTAAGTTACTTATACTCCATATATCCCGTCAAATTAGACCAGAAAATAAAAGCGAAGATAAATAAATTTACAACAAGCTGATAATATTAAATATATAATAAATTCATCTATACTTATATACTAAATTCCTCTGGTGTTTCGGATGTTGATGGGCGGCGGTGGTCACTTCACATCAGGTGAACCGTATGCTCGTTTGCCATATCTTCTATAAAAAAAGTTGTATAATTCGTGCCAATTTTTTACTTACAAGAACTGTATAAGCGAATAAGCTTATATAGTTTTTGTAAGCTTTTATACAGCCACTTGTATAAAAGTGAACTTCAATACAGCTGGTATACAGCTTGCATGCTGTTATTGCAATCTTAAGCTTACATACTTTATCTTTAGGATCACAGCCCTTGCTGATGAACGCAATACAAGACTTCTGCAGCTCGTGGTCGCTGAACAGGCGGCTTAGGTTTGGTGTTGAACGATACATATTGCTGAATTTCAATAGTGGAATAAGTGTTACCTGGAACAAAATATTTATAGTATTCACACAAGCTATATTAATTTTAAAAAAATATCCTATTATGATACTTGTATTTTATATATGTAATGTACTCCAGACTGTTTACGTGGTAGCGCCACGCTGCAGCTATATTATGTTGTAAACCGAATGATCAGCTCGACCAGAAAAGGATCACGCTCTCACAGAATACCAGCGTAAAATAGCAGGTTAATGCCCTTTTTACTGGAAAGAAGGCATTCTGTTGTAGTCCTCAGAAGTGACAATGCATCTGAATTTAGACTCTCAAAATGTAGATGTCTATGGGCAACAGTATCACATAGTAAGTGTACCATCAGGTGTATTGTGTGCTCGTTAGTCACCCCCATTCTATAAAAAAAAATTCAGTCACGGCGACCTGTCCCTACGAAGTCTAGTCATCTGCGCTGAATAAGATTAAAGTGCCCGTGTGTATGTGCAAGCACAGTGCCCCTGTGCCTTTTTCCCTCTCAGAGTCCGATGGGGCGCCAATCCGACTCGACCGAAGAGAGGTCAGGCGCAGGATCAACGGCTTTACATGCTATCATCACACTGATTAGCAGGGTCGGCAAGGGACGCGCTGGATGAAAGCTTATCGGTCAATTTGGCAATATATTGAAAATAGGTAAAATTTTGAGTGCCCTTAACCCGCCAGCATGTATGCGTTTGTATTTGGTCATGAAAGAGATGAGAGAGGATCAGGATCGCGCCAACTGGAAGTCCGTACTATCTGCCTATCACCCTAGGTGGGTGTTCGCGCCACTTTGCACTATCGCCTAACGTTTATAAGAGATTCGTTAGTTATTATCCAATAAGAGTACTGCAAAGCCCATTTCCGGGTTTCCTATCTACCGCCTTTTTATGTCCAGCATGTGCATTCGTGTTAACGGGGCTCACACAAGTTGAGAAGACACGCAACCAACCGCATAGCTTATATCTCGCGTCATCGCTCCCGCCCTTGTGTAATTTGGATATTGAATTATAGAAGCACAAGCATATAGTAAAAAGTATAGACATTTGCAATGACGCTATATTTCGTGATTATCTGTGAAGTTGATAAGTGTGAAGAAAGCCGGCAGCCATCGAGACACGAGGCAGATCAGCGGAAGTCCAGGTGGATGCACATGCATTCCTTCACGTCCTTCCTATATCCGAATTTAGGACATTTGCAGTATCACGAATAAATTAAATTCCATTCACCGCTCGCACCGCGCTAATATACAGTCCACTACTCTATTTAATTTAATAGCCACACCGCAAATTTATTTAATAAATTTGAACCAGCAGTTTGGCCATTAAAACCAATACGCCAAACTAGTGGCTATATAAAAATCTAATAAATGAATTTTGCCCCACCCGGGACTCGAAAACTAGAAACATGCGATCAACGGTAGCGTTTACGACCACTACAATGACCAATGAAATGGTCGACTGACTACGCCCAGTTGACTTTGAATACCTTGAGAAAGAAAATACGATTAATAGGTGAACATAGTAGAAGCCTATGGCATACACTTCTTCCTCTAATTTGTTCACCTATTACATCTCGATTTATCTTTACGTTAAAAAAGTCACGCAGAACATGAATAATAAATATATATCTGTAGCAGCCAGGCTATCAACCTTAAACGACAATAAATAATATATATCCTGCTGCTACCATAACACAGAAGGCGAAGATAACATTTATTTCCTAACTATCCCCGGCTACTGAGATACTGCGGGCTGCATATCGATGCGAGATAATTTGACGTATATATTTAACATTCTAATAAAAAAAAACAAGAAAGTCATAATGTATGAATTGTAATTGGCTAGGCAAATAAAAATTGTTACTATTAGTAAACTAACGACGTAGCCGGACATATAAACATAGGCAGGGTTGCCCAAAAAATATATTCCATACTCCATACACCATTCGTCTGCACATAAAATAGTAGTTTCATTTCTCCGCCACTAGACCACTCGGATTCTGTTAATAGTGGACCTCATATCACCACTATTACATATCCAAGACTGGCAACGGACAGCAATATAAAGTTGTGAGATGTGGAATACAATCATCAATTATATACATTTTTCAAGCGTGGTCGTATTGATATTGTTTCCGCGTTTCCAGGACTGCATCCTAAGCCTACCTTCCAATCCAAAAATTATTCGGACATTATCACCGTGTTCGAGAATCTACCAGAAGTATATAACGTTATAATAGTGCAAAATAAAAACTCACCACTCCATAATAGACCAAGTTCTGGATGCAAGACTTCACTAATGTCTTCTCGACGTTGGTATCGGCCGCAATCTTTGAAACATGGTTGTATCCGTTGATGTATGGCAGAAGCTAGACAGTAATAGTAGCATCAATCAATTAAACGTAGCAAAGCCATGTTGCTATATTATGGTTGTAGCACGAATGGGTCGGCTCGACCGGGGGAGACCACGCTATCGTAAAATACACTTAAAACTGCTGTTTCATATGGTAAGTATAGTGAAAAGAAACAGCGTTTTATTGATAACCAGATTTTTTATCTTGGTTCTCAGGGGTGACAACGCATACACCATTGAGGATAGATGTACGGCATCCACTTACCATGTGAAGTATGCTCGTTTGTCAAAACCATAATCTATAAAACTTCCACTTTCATTTATTCATTCGCATGCTTTCTGGTTCTTAGTCGAGTATAAATCTTAGTTGTCTGGGAGCCAAAGCATACAATTACAATCAAGTGAACTGTGTGTTTGTTGACCACTACTACTTCTATCGCAACCATTATCATCACATAAATTGTCTCATATTTATTTAATAATATATATAATTTACCTAATAAATATGTTAACTACCTAATTTTTTTATAAAACGCCAGCCATAAGCGAACTTACAGCCCACCTGATGGGAAGCGGCTACTAAAATTCAGAACACAAGCAGCCAACTTCAATCAAATAGGGTTAGAGATTCGCTGCAATTTTTGGCGATTAATATGTTATGCCTGATGCTCTGAGCATGTAATTGTACTGGCTCTCGACATCCTTCAGATCGGAACAATTCAACTGGAAACTCTCCATGACCACTATAATAGTCGGACCGCGCTCTTTGCAATCACTTTTAATTTTATAGCCAATTAAAAAAAAAACTCTGATAAGGCAGTACAAAATTTTTATTGAGAGTTTTTATTGATTACTGTTCCCATGTTTTCTATAGCAGAGACATCAATCAAAAACATATAATGACATAAATAGCAAAAGTGCATTGAAAATAACATTGTTTTTTTTTAAAAAACTGAATTTTCACTACAAAGCGACAACTTCATAAATCCTAGAACCCAAATAAGTGCATGTATTTACTATCTCCAAAAACCAACATAAAATGGCACAAGTTTAACTAAAAATATAGGGGGATAAAATAAATGGTCGTACTCCAAGATGTATTGGTATATCCTATTAAAATCATTTTTTATGATCATTAAAATACATTGTACATATTTATACATGCTTACATATAAAATTAAAGGTCCAACATCTCTACAAAATGTTCAATTATTTAATACCTGTCTGGTGGTAAGGTCCCAATCGGCGTCCATATCGACTTCAAAAGGCTCATCATCCTCAACGTCTAGGTGTTCCTGTGATTGAGTTTCCGCACCCTCTGGCGGTGCAGTCCGTTGAGGTCTACCGGGTCTTGGGAGTCCCACAGATGATAACAATACGGGCACGTCGTGGTCGTGAACGGGAGTCGGGTCCTTACGTACTTCGAGGACTTTAAGATGCATCACAGTTTCACCTTCTAGTGAAACGGAAACGGTTTAATTTAAAAGTTAGTAAAATTAACCATAAAAATTACAACATCACTAGACTCAAAACATTTATATACAAACTAGCTGAACCCGGAAGACGTATCATAGGTTGTGTTCAGCAAAGTTTTTATTTTAGCGCACACAATTTATTGTTTTTTTGGAAATCGTGTTTTTGTAAATTATATTTAGATACAAAATTTTTCGATTTTATTCATATTTCATCAGTATACACGTAATTTGTATCTAAATCATCATATTTTTTTTCGTTATTTAAAAAAAAAACCTAAAAAAAGGGATCAAAATAATATATTTTCACACAAAAGAAGAAACTTGAAAAAAGAGTCAGACCGGAAACGTTTGGACTCGAACCGGCCTTCTAGGATTTCAGGAACGCCCGATATCCCATTTCAGCTGTTATCACCTTTTAGGCACCGGCAAAATTTACTTTCGTATAATAAGTAGCATTGCCTAAAAACATTGGATAAAATGAAATTTTCTAAAAATGTGTCCTAGCTAGATCGATTTATTGCCCCCTGAAACACCCTGGACACTAAATTTTATGAAAATCGTTGGAGCCGTTTCCGAGATTCCGATTATATATATATATATATATATATATATATATATATATATATATATATATATATATATATATATATGATCGTTTGTTTCAATAATTCATTAATATACTCAGCAGACCTGAATAGCAAATACGCAGTTAATAGTAAATGGCTGCTGTAAGATTTGTTTACTGCACGCGCCGATGCTCTTTACTTATACACAACAATGAAATGATTCTTCCTCATCTTTAGCCTGTATTAGTCCACTGGTTGACTTAGGCCTCCCATGTTCGCACTGCTAACGCTGCTCGTGGCCAGTTTAGGTATTACATTTGCCGTAAACGGAATAATTATACCAGAATAGTTGTACCTATCGTAAGCCATATAAGGCCGATCTGATATTATTATGTGAAGTATTTATTATTCTCTTATCCACCGACATACGGCGAGAATGCGGTGAAAAAATGTAACAAGGAGTAAGTGGCGGGGTATGACATATCCGTTTACAAATTGGCTGTAAAATTTCATTCTTAAGAAAAATCATGATGTTAATTATTTTTGTTATAACACTATATAATAAAGTATTGGAAGTAAAACATTTGCGCCACTTTAACAATTTTTATATTTTACTTAACTAGAAACAAATCATTATGAATTTTCAACGAAAATTTTCACACTCAAATAAACTAACTAAAGGAACTAATAAACTAACTAAATAAAACAAGTTATGACTAAAACAACTTAAAGATATGAAAGAACATGAAATAAGTAACTATATTTGTGTCGTATATTTATTTTGCTATGGGGACACGCGACTGATACTGAAATTATATATGTTTTACAGAAGAGGGCCATTAGAGCAATATATGAAACCAAAAGAGTCGCTCAAACAAAAATTTAAGGAAATTAATGTATTAACTATGGCCTCTCAATACATTTGTGAAAATGTAATGTACGTACACAAAAATAAAAGTAATTTTGCAAAAATAAGTGATATTCATTCTGTAAATACCAGGAACACACAAGCTAGTAGTATCTGTTACTCGAGTCCACCGAGTCAGTAATTCATTCTTGGGGCGATGTATACGCTTTTACAACAAAATCCCAGAAAATATACAAAATTTGATCTACACAAAGTTCAAAAACTTTATTAAACTAAATTTGTATAAAAAGGGTTTCTATAATATTAAGGAATTTACGGATAATAATAACCCCTGGAAAGGGTGATCGCTATCAAGTTATTTCTAATTTGTTTTGTGTTATTAATTGTAACGTACGTGATTATAAGCTATTATTTTAAAAAAAATTGTCCCGCTGGGTTTCTTGCTGGTTCTTCCCAAGACAGAGTTGTTTTTGCGAACCAGTGGTAAATGAAAAAAGTGACTTTCTATAAGTATTGTTTACAATCTATATTGATTAAAAAAGTTAATGTTTCATATAAACTTGAAAAAAAAAAACAAGTCTTAGGAACATTTTCTACGAGGGCGGCACTGAAAATTTCGGGAATCAAGGAAGTGACACAACATTACTATTTAAAAATGTATTTACTGCTTTTCGAAGTATTCTCCGCGAAATTTCGCCATAAACACACACAAACACGAGCCGCTTTTTGCTCTTCACAGAGCGAATGCGGTATCCATCGGGAAAACAACTTTTTTTACACCTAATTGTTCATGCAAGATTATGTGTATTTGACTCATGCCAATGTCTAAAGTTGCCTGAATTTCGCGGTATGTCACATGTCGATCTTCCTCAATCAGCTTACACACCATCAACGTTTTCTTGGGTGACTGCAGTTTTTGGACGACCTTGACGGGGATCATCACTGAGCTTGACACGTCCACGTTGAAATTCAGCAAACAAGCGATTAATATGACAGGAACAGTGGAAATATTCCATTCCCGATACATTTAGTGACACCTAGTATTCGCAATCTCCACATCTAATATAACGACCAGTAACAATTTAAGCCGCTGAAAGTGTTTTGTTATATATATATATATATATATATATATATATATATATATATATATATATATATATATATATATCTCAGAATATTTTTTGGTATTTTCGCAATTTCACGGGTTCGTAAACTAAAACCAAGCCTAAGTTACGGATGAAATAGGTTTGTTTTATTTCTTTGCCCCGGTTTTCACGAAAAATATCTTTGAATTGACAGCAGCTTTATTCAACATCCCGTAATAAATGGTCTTTAAGTATTAAACCAAAGGAAGCGGCATCGCAAGGCATACCCCTCTGTAAAAGGTAAGAGAGTCCTACTCATACTCGTTATATAAAACTAGTTGCCGACTCAAAATTACTTAGGTATACTTACACTAGTTTAAGAACTTAGTTATTAAGGTTAATTGAAAAATAGTTACAAAAATATATACTTAGGTACATTTACATTAGTTTAAGAACTTATTATATACTTAAAAGAAAATGGTTTATTATTTTTTGTTTTTCAGTTTTTTTGGCGGTTTAATTGATTTAATTAATGATCGTGGTGGGTACGATATATGTACCCCGCTATACTCTCGCCGGGTTAAGAAAAACATCTAAAAATATAAAATACATGAGTATAATGTAGATGTATAAAATACATATTAAATGTAACCATTAAAACTTACCAACTAAAGTAGCCTTCCGATGGGTGTTAAGGTCGTGGAGAAGATGGGCCAGCAGCGTTGGCAGCTTAGTGGAGCCACTTGACACAAAACCTGTCTCTTCCTCCATTATAGTCTAGAAAAATAATATCAAGGTCAAACTTCTAAGGGGCCGTCCATTAATCACCTGAGGCTCGAAGTCGGAGAGGGGGTATGGCAAAAATCACGAAATATCACATGGGAAGGGGGGGGGTGTAGTAAGAATACCACATGTATTTATTTTTTCGTCAAACGCGTGATTTATAAACCGAAAAGTGAAGTGTAGTGTGATCTTGGCTTGTCTGTACGTGTAAAAAGTCTTAAACCCCACCACGCATCACCAAGAGGGAGGGGGGGAGGTTAAAAATGTTTATAAAAATCATCACGTGATTAATGGACGGCCCCTAATATTATATTTGAGGTTTCTTGAATCTCAAAAACCTACCGTCAAATAGACGCGTGATTTTTTTTCAAGTTTATACATAAATAAAATAAGAAATCATCAATGTAGTCGAAGTCAGTGGCGAAGCCTCCATAGAAGCCCAGAAGCCGGGCTTGCTCTATAAAACTTCTCAATCAATAATATCAACTAATAAAATAACTCGTAAACTGTTTCAAACTATTTCAAATTTCCTGCTGACCTCGTAGCATATAATATGTAACGTCAACACTTGGCAGTTTGCTTTCAATTTGAAATACACTGGACTGTCAAAATTAATGAACGCAAGGAGTTGATTTTGTTGTCTCTCTCGCACTGCGTTGGCTTTTTACCGGGCTTTTGAGAAGACGATTCTCCCTTTCTAACCTGTGGCAAAATGCTCTATGATGAAATATAACTACGAAATGTTTATATAGCAATTACTATGGAACCAAAGCCGTGCTTTGTCCTAAAGTTGGTTATGGTTGAGTGCGTTCGGAGGTAGGAGGGGGTACGGGCGATTGCAAGTTCACTTCACATTTCAATGTTTATGTTTGTTTTTGTTGTAACTGTTAAAAATTTATGCTTTTTCAAAGAATTTTAGTGAAAGTGGGAGGATAATAGTGTTCGTTGTTATGAATATAAGTGTGTTAAAGTGCTAATCGGCAAGGAAAAGGTAAAATCTTTAAAAAGAAATTTTAATTCAACAAACATTTCTTCGTACTTTAATACAGGACTCTTTAGTATTAAAGTTTAATTATTCTAGGCGTATTTAAAGGTTTAATAACTCAATACTTTCATATTATCATATGAGTTAAAAATTTCATTTTGAACTTCAGCATAAAATATGAGATACATAGGTATAAGTTTAATTTTATAGCAAATAATTTTTACAATATTTTTAATGTGAAGCCCAAATTTTAATGTAATAAATTAAATGAATACATGTATTGAGGTTTTTAAAGAATATTTACTTTAGTCATTCAGTTCAGTATATAAAATCTTTATAACGCCATCTACTTAATTTTATAGGTGAACTTATTATATCGAACGTAAAGATTACACTAGATGGCACAAACACGCTATCGGCTAATTTAATAATTTAATATTTATATCATTCTTCTAAGTGTATAACTTAAACAAAATAATTTGGATGTTTCACATCTGCCAGGGGTCCCTTTTTTTAATTTTGTACATGTTTGTACTTGTGTTCATGCTTTTCTTTTGTTCAGGTATTGTAATGTATGTAAATATCTTTTTCTTCCGCTCAAGTTAACCCAAACGGCTCTTTTCAAAGCCACCGAAGGTATGCAATTACATATGTCATACAATCTATCCAGTGGTAGTACCTATTCCTTCTATGTGATTTGTTAAACACGTCCTTGACAACACTGAATATGAAACTAAAGAGTGGAGACAGATCAAAATTGGTGTATAAAACTGCTAAAAACAACAAAACCATATCTTGGGCTTGCCCTAGTTTGGAGCCCTAGCTTCGCCACTGGTCGAAGTTAATTAAATACGCATTATTACTCAAAACCACACGAGAAGCAACAGCTTTCAAATAAAAAAAATCATTAAAATCAAAAAATTATCATTAAAAAGTGTTCTGAAATAACCGATAAAAAATAGTTTAATTGAAAGCCTCCTTTTTTTGAAATCGGTTGAAAATAAATTAAAATAAACTATAGGCTATTATTTTGAAAGAATTAAAAAAACATGCGAAATATCGGGACTACGATCGATCATTAACGTGGTGATAATGACAAATCCTTCTTCTGGCAAGCAAATCTAAAGAGGCATTGCTTGTTTATATTTATTTTACTTCAATTTAATTTCATTCATTTCCATGTGGCAATCAAAAACGTTCCAATAATTAAAAGCAAAGCACTTAGAACACTGTATGATTTATTTAAAAAAAAATTATACGAAATACAATTAATGTTTGCTTGAGCACATTCTATAAAGCCAGCTTAATGCTGTGCATAGCTGCTTTTTAATTAGCTTTAATTGATCTTTAATTCTATTTTGTAGTTTTCTAGTAGTAGAATGTCAACTTAGATAACACTGTTGACCATGCGGTCGTCACTAAAGATTATTGATATGATTGATTTTTTTTAAATTGAATCAGAGTGACAAAAAGTACATAGTCCACTTGATGGTAAGTATATATGCTGTAGCCCGTAGATAACTACATCTATCCTCGATTAAGAATCAATATGCGGAGACTTTGCCACCCTGATCAATAAAATGGAATGAAGAATAAGGGTGACAAACGAGCACACAGTCCACCTGATGGTAAGTACATGTTGTGGCTCATAGACATCTACATTTATCCTCGATATCTCTGCACTCACCATACGAAACGCAGCAGTATTAAGCTGCTATTTTACGTTGGTATTCCGTGAGAGCGTGGTCCTTCCCCGGTCGAGCAGACCCATACGTGCTACAATCATAATATAACAGAGTGGCTCTACCACGTACAAAACCAACTTCACTCACCACACAAAACACAGCAGCATTATAATGTTATTTCACGCTGATATTCTGAGAAAGCTTGGTGAGTTTTGAAGAAGGTTATTTGAAAAACCTTACTCAGTGGAGCCGACCCCTTCGTACTACCTAGCCATAGTATAGCAGAAACATGTCTCCACGACGGAAATGTTTAAGTTTATTTAAAAAACACACACGCACACACTAACACACGTACACAATAACACACGCACACATGCACACACACGCACACACACGCACGCAAGCACGCACGCACGCACGCACGCACACACACGCACGCACACACGCACACACACACGCACACACACGCACACACACGCACACACACGCACACACACACGCACACACACGCACACACACGCACACACACGCATACACACACGCATACACACACGCACACACACGCACACACACACGCGCGCACACACAATATAAATGTACAAACTACAAACTCAGCGTTTTAATAGCTGTAAAATTCGCTAGTGCAATAACACCAGCTAAAATTACCAAATCTAAATTATCCAATTAATTTAAAAAAAAACATCTTATTTACTTTAATTTACCATCGCAATTGCTAATACGCCTACTAAATCGCTCCAATAGATAAAACTGCAGCTTGAGAGATTACGATCCAAATATATTACGTAACTTTGAGATAACAAATATGATGATGTTTTTTTTATAGAATAAGGGTGACAAACGAGCACACAGTCCACCTGATGGTAAGTGGATGCTGTGGCCCATAGATATTTATCCTCGATTAAGAATCAAAACGCAAATGCGTTGTCACCCCTGAGGACTAATTTCGAATGCCTCGTTTAAAGTAAAAAAGGGTCTCCAGATCTCTACAATCACCATTCGAAACGCAGCAGTATTAAGCTGCTACTTTACGCTGGTATTCTGTGAGAGCGTAGTCCTTCCCTGGTCAAGTCGACCCATTCGTGCTACAATCATAATATAACTGCAGCGTGGCTCTACCATGTACAAAACCAACTTCACTCACCACACAAAACACAGCAGCATTATAAGGGTGAATTTTGAAGAAGGTTATTTGAAAAGCCTTACCCAGTGGAGCCGACTCCGTACTATCTAGCCACAGTACAGCTTAAACATGTCTCAAATGTTTAAGTTTATTTAAAACACACACACGCACACGCACGCACGGACGCACGCACGGACGCACGCACGCACGCACGCGCGCACGCACACACACCCACACACATCTTTATCAGTATGTACAAACTCAGCATTTTAATAGCTGTAAAATTCGCTAGTGCAATAACAGCAGCTAAAATTACCAAATCTAAATTAGCCAATTAATTTAAAAAACATCTTATTTACATTAACTTACCATCGTAATTGCTAGTATGCCTACTAAATACACGCACGCGCGCATGCACGCACGCACACACGCACACACGCACACACGCACGCGCACACGCACGCACACGCACACGCACACGCACACGCACACGCACACACACACACACACATCTCTATCAGTATGTACAAACTCAGCATTTTAATAGCTGCAAAACTCGCTAGTGCAATAATAGCAGCTAAAATTACCAAATCTAAATTAGCCAATTAATTTAAAAAACATCTTATTTACATTAACTTACCATCGCAATTGCTAGTACGCCTACTAAATCGCTCCAATAGATAAAACTGCAGCTCGAGAGATTACGAT